ATTTTCGGGGAAACTTCTCCACGAGGTGTGCGAGCTCCTGGGAACGAAAAAGATTCGTACCTCCCCATATCATCCGCAAACGGACGTAATGGTGGAGCGGCTGCATCGGACCATCACGTCCATGCTGTCGCAGCAGGTGTCTGAGTCCGAGAACGATTGGGACCTTCATATCCCGGGGGTTTTGGCAGCATACAGGATGGCTCCCCATGCGGCGACCGGGTTTTCGCCCTTTTTCCTAATGTATGGCCGCGAGCCTAACCCACCTGTTCCGACTCAGCTGGGGATCTCCACGCCGCATAGTAAATCCAAATTGGCCGAACATGTGAAATTCAACGTCGCTAAATTGACAGAGGCGCGGGAGGTGGCCATGCAGAACTCTGAACTCCGCCAGAAGGCGAATGAGAGGCTCAGGCCGGGTCGGGTGCACGTGCTTCAGTGGAAGCCGGGTGACCAGGTGTGGTTGCACTGTCCCCAAGTCGCGCTAGCAACCTCGTCTAAACTGGTGCGGCCGTGGCGGGGGCCCGTGGAGGTGGTGCAGGTTTTGCGGCCACAATGTGTGCGTATCCAATGGGGGAAACGTCGGTGGTTTGTGCACCCCTCCAGGTTAAAACCGTTCGTTGCGCCCCATGTTCCTACTTCACACACGCGTGGCCAAACATGTGGGGGGTCCACCGACTCCCGGAGTACGACTTCTCTGCTGTCACCTGACTTAACACCGTCTGTTCCACCTCCAGGCGCACCAGGAGTGACACGCTCACGACCGCCAACCCCCCCCCCCCCGGGGGGGTCGGGGGTCGCTCTGCAGCGGAGCCAGACACCCTCACACCCGGACTGTTAACAACCGCCACTGGCCGAACCAATGGGGTCCCTTGTGACGGCCCCGCTGGAAGGACGCGTGCCAGAACGCGCAGACTTTTGTGAGGCCGGCCGCCAACGCGACCCTTGCGGGCGACCGCCCTCGGTTCTTGTATATATATATGTTGTTTTTACGGGATGGGGTATTTATTCGGTCGGGGTGCGTCGTGTTGGTTTGTTCTTCTTGTTATTGTGGTTGTTGCTGTTGTTGTTGTTAAAAATTTGTGAGGCACACACGGGTTCAAGGGGGGAATGCATCTTTATTGCGGTTTTGTTGCAGCCGGTACGGCTGCGAGCTGTACGGGGGGGGGGGGGGGGGTGATGTAGAGCCGTTGTGGACGTCCGGATTTAGACTTGCCGCGGATGGCAAACAAACACAATGGGCGTGGCTACGTGGGTACGCGGGGCAGGTGCTCGCAGCGACGTCCTCGCCGTACGCTGGGATCCCCCACAGCCCCTCCCCTCAGGGGGGAGATGGCTATTTAAGGCGGTGAGCCGAAGGGCTCTGGGTCTAGTGTTAAGCTGTAACCAGTGAAGAAAGAAGACCAGCTAGACCGGCCCTGGAACTCCCTGGGATCGCTGTCCTTTTAAGGACCGACCAGGCAAGCCAGCGGCGTGGCCCCCAGAGCCCAGAACCGACGCTCTTCTAAGAGCGGGGTCTGGGTATTCGGGGTGCCGTAACCTAGGTGTAAGCTAACTGTGAGCTAGGCTGTTGTGTTCCGTAGCTAGACGGGTGAAGGGGCCGATACCCCTTCAGTTACTGTAAGCTTCCGAGTTACGTGCTGGTGTTAATAAATAAGCGTGTGCCTCCAACTACGTGTCAAGTCTCCCTGGAACCATACTACACATGCAACGTAAGGCCGGCCTGCGTGTGGAGCAGGAGACACGCTGCTCACACCACCGACAGCAGGGCAGTTGTGCGACATTGCACTCCGTGTGCAGTGTCAGCCCCTGAAGGCTAGGGGGCGAGAGCGCCTGGAGCGGCGCAGGGGTGACAAGGGGCCGGAGGTACCGGGGGTGAGGCTCCCAAAGCGGGGGCCTTTGGAAGGGCCGAGAAGGGAGGCGTGCCGAGGGGCGGAGGAGGTGACGGGACTGGGAATATATGCCGGACCCCTAAACGGGTTCGGCTGCTGTTCATCTGAAGATATGAAGCTGTCCTCCTGAAGAAGAAGCCCCGACGTCAAGACCAGGACTCGAGTCGAAGGTTCGGGCTTGACGGTCTCCCCAGTTGTGTTAGGGCGCGTTAGCCCGGAGGGACTACCTCCCCAGGTTACCTGGTGGATGGGACAGCTACCCCTTTGTGTTAGCGAGTATTGTTATAATAAACATGTTGCCTCCAGAGAAGCCTCCTTCTCCATTTGTACCCACTACATTTGCATAACAGCCCCGTGGACCACCTGGAGGACCATAGCGGGCCACTGGTGGTCCGGGAACTGCACTCTGAGAGGCACTGCTCTAGAGCAATCAAACACGCCTCTCTCTGTCTCTGTGTGCAATGCAAAACAATGTCTGCTCCTGTTTGTGCAAAACTCCGTATTGTGAGTGCTTTTTTTTAATGAGGGCAGCTCCTTGGGGGGGGGGGGGGGGCCCCAAACTGGACACCTTTATAATTTATTTTCAGTCGTTTACAATTCACAATAATAATTCAATGTATGCATCCGCGATTCCTAATGTGGGGGACAAAGCAAACCCCTGCCCCCCCCCCCCTCCCCCCAGAAATATAGAAGTCAAACCTCGCCTATGGAGAGAAGTAGTACAATGGAATAACGTTCAGAGGGCACCACCATTGAATACAACAACCAACACTGTGTGCCACCACTACTCGAGCTTGAGCGTGGGAAAGGGCCCTTAGAAGCCTCAGTACGGTCCTCCACCGATTACAGTGGCGAGCGCACACCCCCTACTCGGTCCACCGAGCAGAGCGGAGAGATGATTGGAGTTCTGCTCTCGAGCCAGAGTTTGGATGAAGCAGCAGAATGATGTCACGTGGTTGCTGGGAGTTGGTTAACAAGAGGCGTAGCAACAAGGAAACCACATTTTCTGTCAGTAACACTGTCTTAAAAGGACAATTATAGCATCGGCGTAACTAACCCAAGAATTATGTTGACCGAAACATCGCCGATTATATTATTTGTTATTTCTGAGAGCCAACCCATCAGCATCACTGAATAATTTGTAGCAACGACGGACATTTTTTGCAGAGAAACTGACACTTTAGAAATAATGTGGCTTTCAAAAGTTTTATCAAATCGTATAAAATTATATAAAAGTGTTCTGGATAATTCCCGCCCGACAGGTTTTGTTTTTACAAAAACCATAAAGCAAATTTATGATATAGCATCAACAAGGCCACATTACGGACGCAGAGCAAACACTCAACGTTTGTAGGATCTGTAACGTTTGCAACTCTTCAACAAATATCAGAACCATAGCAACCCTTAAAAACGTACAAAACCATGTTATGAGCCAGAGCAGTCAATTCATTGGAATAAAAGTCACAACTAATTATTACACCACTCAGAGCAATGTGAGAAAGTTTGTTCAGTTACACCACAGAGACACAGAACCACAAGCACAAAGCAGCCACCCCAGTTGGGCTCTCACGCATTACGCTCTACTGTGCCTCGGCGATTGGAACTGGTAAAATGGCAAATGGCCACATATTCGGCTATTCTGAGCTGGTGGTCTGGACAAGGCTCTTGTGCAAGGCAAATCTCTATGTGCTGTTCAAGCTATGGTGTAACACAAGCTATGATGTGACACAAGCTATGATGTAACACAAGCTATGATGTGACACAAGCTATGATGTGACACAAGCTATGATGTGACACAAGCTATGATGTAACACAATCTATGATGTGACACAAGCTATGATGTGACACAATCTATGATGTGACACAAGCTATGATGTAACACAATCTATGATGTGACACAAGCTATGATGTAACACAATCTATGATGTGACACAAGCTATGATGTGACACAATCTATGATGTGACACAATCTATGATGTGACACAATCTATGATGTAACACAAGCTATGATGTGACACAATCTATGATGTAACACAATCTATGATGTGACACAAGCTATGATGTAACACAATCTATGATGTGACACAAGCTATGATGTAACACAATCTATGATGTGACACAAGCTATGATGTGACACAAGCTATGATGTGACACAATCTATGATGTGACACAAGCTATGATGTAACACAATCTATGATGTGACACAAGCTATGATGTAACACAATCTATGATGTGACACAAGCTATGATGTAACACAATCTATGATGTGACACAAGCTATGATGTAGCACAAGCTATGATGTAACACAATCTATGATGTGACACAAGCTATGATGTAACACAATCTATGATGTGACACAAGCTATGATGTAACACAATCTATGATGTGACACATGCTATGATGTAGCACAAGCTATGTTGTAACACAATCTATGATGTGACACAAGCTATGATGTAACACAATCTATGATGTAACACAATCTATGATGTGACACAAGCTATGATGTAGCACAAGCTATGATGTAACACAATCTACGATGTGACACAAGCTATGATGTAGCACAAGCTATGATGTGACACAAGCTATGATGTAATACAAGCTATGATGTAACACAATCTATGATGTGACACAAGCTATGATGTAGCACAAGCTATGATGTAACACAATATATGATGTGACACAAGCTATGATGTAACACAATCTATGATGTGACACAAGCTATGATGTAACACAATCTATGATGTGACACAAGCTATGATGTAACACAATCTATGATGTGACACAAGCTATGATGTAACACAATCTATGATGTAACACAAGCTATGATGTAGCATAAGCTATGATGTAGCATGAGCTATGGTGTAACACAAGCTATGATGTAACACAAGCTATGGTGTAACACAAACCAATTCCAGTCAACCAAACACAGGTGCCAATTCCCAAACTGTCCAGGTCAGACACAGGATAGGTGGCGACCTATCTCTCACCAGGTGCGATGGTTTGTGCTGTGACTCCATAAGAGTAGAATCTGACATTTACACACCGCACACACGGATACTTATACAACCATATCACTCACGATAATGGTCAGAAGAGAATATTTAAATAATTATGACCCAAATCCAAACAAAAACGGGCATAAATGTGTTGAATCGCTTCACACGCTACGCCAAAACGCAACGACCCCGCTCCCATGGTGCCGTCCGTCCGCGTGGTCTGCGGGGGAGTCCGCGGTGGAGTCCGCGTGGGAGTCCCACTCAGCCGGGCGTCTTCTTGGTCCACGCGTCGCGCCGGCGCTGCACCGCCCTCTCCAGCAGCTCCGACGCCGCGGAGCTCGACGCCTCGGAGCGAGCCGACAACAGCGCGATCCGCTCCTCGGCATCTGAAGCACGGACAACGTCGAACCTTCCTTGAGCACGACTGAACTTCATTTTTTTTGTTTACCAGGTAAGGCCCACTGAGCTATGTAAAGTAGCTATTTTTCGGAAGTGACCTGGCCACAAATGAAAGCTCAACGAAGTCATCTTCTTGGTTCTTTCGGTAAAGTCACGTAGAATGGAAATAATAAAATAATAAAAATAAACAATAAAATAATTCTCACGACGTTTCGGCCACAACGCAAGCAGCCGTCCTCAGGTGAAGAACAGGTCTGTCAAGGAGACATAGTCTGAATGACAACCCCAGGCTTGGAGCGTCTTTTTTAAGCAAAAAATGTAATATGCTTCCAGCTAAACTTTGTTCTCTTACATCACACGGGTATACCCCGTACTATATACTGCTATAGACAAACCCAACATTAAATTATATACTGTATTATTATAATACACCACTCTATACCTTATACATTGTAGAATTGTAATGTATTACTTACTGTTAGTAGCTCAGCTTATTGAAGAGTATATTTAGTATACTGATGATACTATGTAGTTTATACTTTAGTTGTTTACGTGGTGGTTTAGTTACTGCAGATACATACTATTAACATTCCTTCTCTTTATTAATGCTACCCCTACCCCCTCCCTTTGATGCTGCTACTCTTCATTAATGCTACCCCTACCCCCTCCCTTTGATGCTGCTAATCCTGCATAATGCACGGGCATAATGACTTTAAACCCCTCGCCAAACCTCCTACGCATTTCACAAGTAGTACTAATCGCATATCTGCATTTCCCATAAATATGCTAAATTCCAAATGATATGCAAATTATTTTGTCAAGGCGCTCTCCCCTCCTCCATCCCAGCTTAAAAAAGACGCTCCAAGCCTGGGGTTGTCATTCAGACTATGCATTCCTTGACAGACCTGTTCTTCACCTGAGGACGGCTACTTGCGTTGTGGCCGAAACGTCGTGAGAATTATTTTATTATGTTTTATTTTTATTGTTTTATTATTTCCATTCTACGTGACTTTACCGAAAGAACCAAGAAGATGAATCCCTGCAGTCACGAAAGCTTTACATCTAAACTCAACGAAGTCGCTTATCATCACGTAGAAACTTCTAGCGCGTTTTGATTACAAATGTGGAGGGAAAAACCAGAAGAGCCAGAAAAAAATCCATGTGACCACGGGGAGAAAGACATCCAAACTCCAAATATACAAAGTACAGAGTCGAGAACCAACCCACGTGCTCCTGCATACAAGGTGAGGAAGTTCACATCTCGCCACCGTGGCACACGGTCATGAGCGCTGGCAGAACCAAACAGCTGCTGCTCCATGTGAGAAACAACACCTATAAACAGTCAATACCCCCTCCTTTACATATCTGTTCCTCCACATTGAAAGAAAGTAATTTGTACACATCCCATCAGACGAAAGGCCTTCCGGGAATGCATCATGTCAGCAGCATTGGTTTAATGCAAGCAAACTCTGGACCGGTTTCTGCACGCATTATTTCATCAGCAGTCTGGCTCGCTTGGACCCATGCTGGTAAACTGCGAGATGTTTACAGGCAAAGACCCTTCTCATAAACAACACAAAACGATTAGTGTCGTTGTGTAGATTATAAGTAACAAAATAAATAAGCAGACACTTCTCCATGACATGCCTGTCCTTCCACGTACAAATTTCAACGTATTTTTTTACACATTCAGTCATCCATACGGGCTTCTGGGTGTGCATAATTTCAGCAAAAACCAAGTGATAACTGTTGTCATTGTGCCCAGTCATTCCTGCATCAGTGGTAGTTGTTTACAGAGTGGTAATGTTTTAACCCATGGGGTGATATTTAACAAAGCGCATCATAGTGGCCATTAGCTATTGCAACCTGGAGAGCGGTGGTACGGTGGTTCATGCCCTAGTCCAGTGGTTCTCAACCAGGAGTACGCAGACCCCTGGGAGTACGTGGCAATGTCCCGAGGGGTACGTGAGGTGATTTATAAACGTGTGTGCAATTATATCATACACGAGAGTCATTTTGTGACTAATCATGTATGAATCTGCCAATATAAAATAACCACGATACAATTAAAATCCACATGGTACCCTACAACGATATAAAAGACCTTCCTAAACTCATTGACAGGGTGCAGTGAGGGCGATGCTGGCCGTTGCGCTGTAGGTTGTTGTTGGCGCGATGACGGAGAGCCCACCCGGGAGGAGTCTGGCAGGAGCGGAGTGGAGGAGCGGCTCCCGCGCGGGGGAACTGGGCCATGGCTCCTCGCGCAGGGGCAGCGGGTCGAACGTCCTGGTGCCCGCGCACGGTAGCAGGTCCGGCGCTCGCGCTGCGCTCTGTGGGGAGGCAGCGTAGGGGGAGTCACCCGACCGGGTGGGCGCTATCGAGCTGCGCCGTTAAAAGAACGACTCGAAGCAATGCAACCTCTTCCTCCCTCTCCTCATCTCTCTTGACCCTTTGGCTCCGTTTCTCTGTTCCTTTCCCATCCTTCTCTTCCATTCTCTTTCTTGTCTGTTCCCTCCCCTTGTTCCTTATTTTGCTTCCATAAATGATATCGTTGACTCCCATTCCCGTGGCGTGTGCCATACACTACACACTTCATCTACGTCCGGGTGTGACTGACTGCGCGTGTTACTTAAGCAACGTTATCGTTGCATGTAGATTGTGACTGGGTTTTTGTTGATGGATTCGGATGAACCAATATAGGCATTCATCTTGGCAATGTCAATAACATTCCCTGATATCGTGAGAGAAAAGTCAGCGTAGGTTTTTTTGTTTGTTTTACGTCCAATTGTATTTACATTCTTAAGCACACTTTGGGCACGCTCTTCAGAAAGCATGTGGGGTTTGTTTTCTGGAAGGACACAACCCCAGCCAAGCCTGCTGATCGTCGCTCGCAGGACGAGGGCCCGGAGCCCCAGCCCACGCTCCCGGTGGGCCTTGGGCGGCCCTCACCTGCGAGCGAGGCCCTCAGCTGCGTGTGAGGAGGAGCCCTCACCTTTGGGCGAGGTGGAGCCTGCGCTGGCTCCATCGCGATACTTGTGCGGCGAGAACGGTTTTCCCAGTGGCGTCTCCCTCCGCTGGGACCCCAGCCCCTCCTTGGGAGGAGACACCAGCAGGGCACCCCCTGCGGCAGGTGGAAGCGAACGTCACGGGCCCGGTAAACTAACGCCGCTCGACAAGCGCCGATGCTTCACAAAGCCCATGGGCCGACGTCTGTTTACTTATTTATTGCAGTAGATGGATACGCACCATACGTAATGATATCTATTCGTCGCAGGTGGTGCTACTGTATGCGGTAAAATGAGGGTCAATGTGTCTCCAAGCTCACAACAAGAAATTGGAAACATTCATATACATGCTTCATGTACTTACATAATGTGCATGTGTAGTGGTGTTATTTCACGCGGACAACTTCTTATTTTTCTAGATTTGAAGTGTTCGTGACTGCAAGGATCCATACGCTTTGGTTCTTTCGGTAAATAAAATTAAAATGTATTTTTCTTTTATTAAAATTAATTTTTATTTTATTAATAAAATAAAAATGTATTTGTATTTAATTTTCACCTACGTGACTTTACCGAATAAAATTAAAATAAAAAATTATTTTATTTTCACCTACGTGACTTTACCGAAAGAACCAAAGAGTTCTTATTTTCCTCCTATACCACTTTTATTCGAACAGAACTCCTCGCTTTCAACACCACGTAACTCCATCGCAACCTCCGCTCTGCTCGCTTTACTCACTCCACTCTCAGCCTCTCCACTGCTAATCTGCTATCTCTCAGTCTCCTAACCTCTCCACTGCTAGCCTACTCTCACTCTCCTAGCCTCTCCACTGCTAGCCTGATCTCTCTCTCACTCTGCTAGCCTCTCCACTGCTAGCCTATCAGGACACACTCTGCAAGCTTCTCCACTACTAGCCTCTAACTATATACTCTGATAGCTTCTCTACTGCTAGCCTCTCACTATACACTCTGATAGCTTCTCTACTGCTAGCCTCTCGCTATGCACTCTGCTAGCTTCTCTACTGATAGGCTCTCGCTACATACTCTGCTAGCTTCTCTGCGGCTAGCTTTTTGCTATACACTCTGCTAGCTTCTCTACTGCTAGCCTCTCGCTATATACTCTGTGAGCATCTCTTGTGTTCACTCTTCTCTTCACTCCAACCAACTTAACTCACAACTCCCCCGCGTGTCTCCGCAGATCACCTTATAACCCTTCACTCATTTAAAGACTCCAGGTGGCCCTCATTAAGCTTCCGCTCACGCAGCGTCTCTGCCACGCTGATCGCCTCCATCTGCAGACTCCAAGACGCCTACACCGTGTCTGCATTTGCAGCCAGCCAATCACTGCTATGGTTCTATTTTGGTCGCCTTTCTCTCTCTCTCTCTCCGCACCCGTTTGACTCCACTGTGCGCCGCTCACACACGCGTCTATTTAAGACTGAAACAGGAGGATTTCTCCACAATTCTGGCTGTCCCTTGATGAGGCTGGTTGTAATCACTGGCAAAACTCCACGGTACTCTGAGTTTACGCTGCAACACACTGGTGTGCTGAACTAGTAACTAAACGCATGTTTTGTTTACGCAACAAACTTTACTAATTGGTTGTGTCAAGTAATGGCGGGTTTCACGACACATTTATATTTACGCGATTTAACCCAAAAAAAAACTATGATGGATTCATATCCTGGGAGCATCTCCACAGCATAACTGTGGGTAACTTCACACAAGGTGGTCCTCAATTGTGAGGGACAGGGTCCATACCACAGCCGGACTTCGAGCTCGCAAACTAAGCAGGGGGTGCCGTTCGGCCGGAGGGATTAACTGTCGTGGAAAAGTGGGCACTTCAGGCGGAAGCGCGGCGACCGCGTGTTTAACGACGCCTCTGCCCCCGTGTGTCGCGCTGCGCTCCTCAAGCAAGCGCGCGTTCCTACAACACGGGGGGGGGGGGTCCGGGAGATCCGTGAGATCCTAAATTCCCCAAACAGACCACTCGCATGCGCAAGAGGCCTCCACTCGGCATTCGTGAAGTATTTGTAACGCGCAGCATTTTGCAGGCGGTATTTACGATTCGTAGTTGGTTGAGGGCACGCAATGATTCGGCCAAATTAGTGTCGTTATGGACGCTTCACCACCTGACACGGTTAAATAAATCAATTATCACCAGCAGCTATTATCGGTTCGGCTTACCAGTAAGTTGATTAAAAATTCTCACAGCCAAATTAAAACTTACAAATGGAGATGTTGGCGTGTGGAATCCCAATTGCATAATTCGTGGGTCATTTTCAAATGAGGGAAAGGTGAACCATGACGCCGGAACATGATGGCCCACTTGTTTTAAACGAGATTGGTTGGATCTTTAACGTGTATTTGTCCACGTAAAATATTAGTATTGTACACGTTAAAGATTTGTATTTGTATGGTTAACACGATGCAACAACCAGGGACGGGCCTGCCGAATTCACCGCCGCCCCAGTGATTCACGCGGCGCGCTCCATGTAGCGCGGCGCACGAATCACTGGGGCGGCAGTGAGGTGGACCAATCCAACGGCCCTGCGAGGCGACTGTCCTGCGCCCTTACCGACCGCCGGGGTGGTGAGGTCGTGGTGCGTGCGCTGAGCTCCCCCGAGCGCCGTGAGCCTGGGGGTGGGGAACCGGCCGCCTCCGTCTGCGCTCGCCTCTGACCCCACCGAGGCGGTGCTGCGTTCCGATTTCACAATTGCAAAGGGAACGCTGTGGGTGCTCTTTAAAGATGCCGCTCCTCACGCTCGAGCGACTCGCAGCAAACCTCTCAGTCCCGCGGTGCCACTCGAGCCGACGTCACCACACGGTGACCACTGTACAGTGCAGCAATGTCCCTGGAGTGTGCTTCTGACAGTCACATCAGAGCTCGTTAGACACTGCCCATCACACGACAGGAGCATCATCATCATCGTCGTTGTTGTTTACATTGATCGTAATTAGTTTTGCAGCCAGCCGGATTTTTCAGCAGCCGGAGCAGGGCATCCATCTCCCAATTAGTACAGCTGGCCAGCGTTTTACTGTCGTTGCTTGTCGTAGGAAATGGGTCATATAATAGAAGAATTAAGGAATCTTACGATTCACATTAGACAGTCTGGGACACACAGCGTGGGCGGGTGAAGCTGTGTGATCCGTGTGGGGAAATGTGTTTTTTACAAGAAATAAAATTTCCACTCTGAGCTCTATTGTGGACCCACTTTGGAAAGCACAGCTTTTTCCAAAGTTGCCTTCTACGCTGGGCCCTAGACAGCAGAGGAAAGAAAGGTGGCTATGCTAAGATTGCTCGCATACACGGAGCACGGTGGTGCAGGGCGGCGTCACCTCCAGCGCTCGTGCGCGTCGTCTGCTTCCTCCTTCGCAGTGTGCGGCCGAGTGCCATGCGCGACGAGCTCCCGAGTCTCGGCAAACGTGGCGGTGGGGGCGGCAGAGGCGGCATCGCCACTCGCGTTCTCCTCCCAGGTGGCTGCGCTCTCCGCCGGAGGCTTGCCGAAGGCCTCGGTCGCCACGCGAGCTGCGCCATCAGCCTCGTCCGCCGCTCCGCCTTTGAAGTTGTCCGCACGGCCGTTACCCACCTGTCGCTCTTGTGCCGTGCCGGCCACTCCACCACCCTTCTCGCATGGTCTCCGAGCCCACGCTCTCTGTTTATCTCTCACTCTGTTGGGACAAAGCACAAGAAGACAAATAACATCCTCGTGAGCCAACTCAATTTCGCCAGCCCACACAGCAGAGAGGCGTTTCAAGTGTGACTCGTAGAGGGGTTCTGCTACCACACCGTGTGGGACTTTTGTTCTCCGACATGATCGTGGCTCAGCGGGAGAGCGAGCATCTCGCAATCAGAAGGTCGCGAGTCCAAATCCTGGTTGAGCGTTGACTCAACCCATCATCCCTCCGTGGTCAATAAAAGCAATATCACTCAGGCGGGGAGTCACCAGTGGTTGTCCTTTCGATTTCCTCTCGCCCACCATAGGAATGTGGAATTTCTACCGCTGGCTCTGCAGGGCTGTAAGCAGGAGATGCGCACCAATACCTTAATGCTCAATCGAAGCAGTCGATCTTTTTGACTTTCTTTTTCAAAACAAGCTCGCGCTACGAGTCAATGCTCGCTGCACGTCTCTCTCACGATGAACGGGGCCATCGGCCCAGCGGTGTCACCTGGCCAGGTCCAGCGCCTCGACGGCGCTGCTGAAGTCCTCCGCGGCCACGCTACTGGTGCTCTGCTGGTCCCAGCGTTCGTTCTGCTCTGACAGGATCTGGTTGAGGTGATCGCGGGAGAAGTGCGTGCCCAGCAGGCGCCGCTTGTACAATTCTGCCTTCTCCCGTAGGTCCCGCACCTGCGCGCGTGTGTGCGACACACGGTTGCAGCGCACATAAGGAGGCAACCGGTTAGCGCAGTTGGCCACGTATGGTGCGAAAGAAGTTCTACATACATACGTACATGCAACGAGCCAAAATTAAGCAAATGAAAGTACAGGCAGACCTTGACTTACGAACGAACGGGTTACGTTCCCGAGACACGTGCATAAGTCGATTTGTTCGTATTTTGGAATTAGAGATTTAATTATATGTTTGGTCAGCGTTATAAAATGTGTTACAGTTCCACACAAAAAGGAAGCAATTTGAAACTCATAAATAAGAATAACTATTGTACATTTGCATGTGTAGTGACATCGCGGATGTCACTGTGTAATGCCGGCCCTCGAGAGGCACGGCGTGCGATGTATTGACAACGCGAGCACCACTAGTATGTGGGTGCAGTACTGGCCCTAGAGGAGCTCGGTGAGCGCTTACTGGCTGTGCTGGATGGCACCACGCTCTGCGTGCAGTGCCGACCCCTACAGGATAGGGTGTGAGAGTGTCAGCCATGGGGTTACTAAGCGCCATGGCACTCTGGTTGACCCTGAAGGACACGTGACTGGTAAAGTCTACACAGGGCCCCCAGGTGGGGGCTAGGGGTGGTCACGTGTCAGGGTCGAGATCCTGCTCGAGGATTCTAGAAGGTGGTCGTGGCTCAGGGCGAGCCAGCCACGCCACAGAGAATATCAGCCGGGTCCCCGAGAGGGACCGGCTGCTGTTGTTCATCCTGAATAATCTACGTTCTACGTCCTACAGACTCTCCAACACGTGGACCTGGACACGAGCTGTGGTCCGGTCCATTGTAGCTAGTCACGGAGTAACTAGTGCGGTTCGCCTGGTGGTCACCACCATAGGTTGTTATCTGGTTAAGGGGCAGTTACCCCGTTGTGTTGATATTAATAAATGTGTTGCCTCCAAAGAGTACATCTGCGACTCGGTTGAACTCACTACACATGTAGTCCTGTAATATATACGGTATAGTAAATAAAACATAATATAAAGTAACATGAACATTTAAAAAATCTGTAATTTTCACTTACGTTGAGTCCTGATGCTGGCTTGGTATCAGAAGGGGTGTGCATCTCGTTGGATGCTGGTAATCATTACATATCATGGAGGGTCGTTCCACGGAACAAAATAGTTCTGTGGTTCGCTTCGTGAGTACGAGTGAAGTTTCGCAAGTTGGATGGTTAACATAATAACATCTCATGGCGGTTCGTTCGTGAGTGCGGATGTTCATAAGTCGGAAAATCGTATCTCGGGGACTGCCTGTACACCTTCGATTATTCTCATCTTTGGCGGTGATAATGTTTCTTTATCTCACCGGTGAGCGAGCCGAAATAGTCATTGTCGGCACGTGGTTATATGCTTGCACGAGTGCGTTTTTGTCTGTGTCAGGTGGTAAAGGCTCTTGACGACACAAATTAGGTCAGGTGATTACATGGCCAAACCCAAAAATCAATTACGAATCAGATTATTATCTTTGCAGTCATTGGTGACGGGCCTGAGACCATCACATCTCTGCAACGTGTGAAGCCATTTTATAAGGTGACACTCATTTATAAGGTCACACTCATTACACACAAAGTGCTTGCCATAAATGAACCACAATACCTTGCTGATCTCATCAAGGAGCATAAACCATCACGCAAACTCCGGTCATCCTCGCAGCAGCGGCTTTTGGCTAGCCATCGAACAAAGATGGCCACTGCATCACGTGTATTCAGATGTGCCTCTGTGGCTGTCTGGAGCCCTCTTCCTTCTGATATTAGGAAGGCACTGGAGCTATGCACTTTTAAATATGGACTGAAAACTCATTTTGTTTGAGCAAATGTTTGTGTTTATTTTGTTACCCTTCCCCCGCACCTCCGATTAGCACGGATGGCCATGTATGGTGCGAAATAAATTCAACGTGCATACATACAAGCCAGTTTAATGACGAGCGGCTGAAGCCTGGATCTGCACCCAGAGTTCCCTACAGTGAACCCCCAAGCCAACCTCACAGGTTAGGGTGGGTGGCTTAGAAAATGGACCCAATCCGTGCCTCTGATTGCCATTGAGACTGTACGACGACCCTTCTGTCCGTGTGGCCTCTGGACAGAGGTCATCAGCGATGTCTGACTGCAACTCATGTCGCTTTCAGGCCAAACTTCCTCACTTTCACTGTGGCAGTAAAACTAACAACCGACAACCAGTTAGGCGATAGGGAAAATCTCCCACTCGGTGAGATCTCTAACAATTTCCATTTTGTTGATATTTATCAGAGTAATAACACTGAATGTTTCTATACGCTGAGATGTAGGGCCCTACGGTATTTAAAAAGCTTGAAATTTCAGGATCGCCTCCACCCTCGGCACCCCCACTCATCATCCCCCATTCGGAAGTTTGTAGACCAGCCTCTGCCAGCAACAGCCACTCACCTCAGCAAGCCACCCGCTGCTCCGGCTCTGCTCTGCACCCTGCACAACGACAATAGCCAATCGTGCAAGGCAATTCCAACACAACCGGGGCGTGGACAAACACGGACAACGTGCGTCAAGTTCGTTCACAACAGGCACACCGCACACGCGAGACGGGACGAGACATGTGTTGTCCCGCAAACAGCGACGGCGCCAATGGCTTCCGCGTGAGGATAATTGGGGGTGAGGAGGCTGTGTATGATTTAGCCACGTGCCGGGGTCAGGGACCGGACAGCCGAGGAGATGAGATCAGCTCGTTTGCAGGAGTGTGCTGGATTGTAGCATTGCAGGACCGTGACAGATGGAGGATGGCATGGGGAGACCTTCCACCAGCAGTGGATAGACCATGGCTCATAATGATGATAATGATAAATGGCCGTCACTGCATTGGGCATGACCCTGAGATCCCCTGAAGAAGGCCGCGTAGGTTGTGTGTACGTGCGTACATACATACATATGTTGAACATCTTTCACACCATATGCAGCCAATCGTGCTGATTAGAGGTGCGGGGGAAGGACAACAAACTAAACACAAAAAGCAGTTCTCAAGAAATAAATTTGCAAATTAGATTTGCAAGTGCATACATCCAGTGGTTTCTTATTATCGGAAGGATTACAGTGTGTAACTCATGCACATCGCGTGGGTTGGTGACAATGGCCCAGTGGGAGTGCATTTGCCGCTTGTTGCAGAGGTTCGCGGTTCGAATCTGGCAGCCGACCCTGGCTGAAGCTGTGGGTGCATTAACCATAATATACTACGTGCCATCTACTTCACTGGGGATGGTAAAGATCCCGTGCAATGATTTGAAATCAGTGGGTGTCATAATCCAAATATCCAATTCTAGATTTGAAGCTTTCGTGACTGCAAGGATTCATACTCTTTGGTTTTTTCGGGTAAAGTCACGTAGGTTAAAAAAGAAAACAAATAAATTAAATCACGACGTTTCGGAGGCAACACAAGCTTCCGTCTTCAGGTGAAACCGTCACAGCAAAATTACTTGATACAGCAATTTCAGATGTAACCGTCACAGCAAAATTGCTGTATCAAGTAATTTTGCTGTGATGGTTTCACCTGAAGACGGAAGCTTGTGTTGCCTCCGAAACGTCGTGATTTAATTTATTTGTTTTCTTTTTTAACCTACGTGACTTTACCGAAAAAACCAAAGAGTACAAATATCCAATATTTGAAAATGATTCAATTGCGATTATACACAGCAACAATTATCGGCCCCGTCTGGCAGAATAATACCCACTTGCAGGCCAGGTGATTACCATGTGCCGGACAGGGACAGCACGAGGGGTGCCCTTGAAATGTTTGAGATGAGTTGTGATGTAAGGTGCACCTAGCATGACGCAAGCACCGTGGTGATGCCCCCACAATTTAGTGACGGATGGCGGTTGTTATTGTTATCTTATCTTACCGTAATTTTATATAATGCCTTGACTAATGCACCATGTAAAAATGACTAAGCCGCTTTAGAGAGAATTAACAATGGCACATATGAATGTAATGGTGAAGATGATGTGGATAAAATAGATGAGAGGAAGTAATGGGCCTTTGATGTGTGATTTAGGTTGTAAGGTGTTTGCTTTGAGTTGTTATTTAAGCGCCACCATATAGAGTCACAGGTTAGTATTTGGACGTATTGGCGGTGTACACCAGTGCAGCATAACACACCGGTTTACATAAACATTCTATAATCAGAATTTGAACTGACATTCGTCTTCCGACTGCTTCGACAACACGAGAGCTGATTTTGACGCACCACTCTGCAAGATTTTCTGGCCGGGGTTTGCGAATCGCAGGAAAATAAGTAATTATTGGAAAAGATTCGCTTATTTTATCCTGCACATTGGTGTACCACCAAGACGTTAATTTAGATTGTAAAGTAGATGCATGCCTTTAATGCTGAGTGCTGGCTCCGAATGCCCACCCAGCCTCCATCACCAAACTTGTAGTGGCAAGGGGCTCGGAAGTTTTCCATGTACTCAGATTTGAGTTTCCTGGGGGAAGGAGAGATGTCGTGCATTGGAACCACGCACTAGGAAACTCCATAGAGACTCAAGTACCCAGTGTGTCCGTTTAAAGAGTAATTTATCATAGGCCAATCTAGAAACATCCGAAGGAGGGTGTGGTCCTGACATTTCAAGCTTCTTAAATAGGGCCCTGCATTGATAAAATAAAAACAGTGGATTTTCTCTGGTAAATAAATAAAATATCAATGTTCGGGGTCTCAAGGAGGAGGGGTGGGGGTGTGGGGGGTGGGGATGTGAGGGGGTGGGGTGCCCCTATTGCCCTCCCCCACTGGACCCGCCGCTAAAGGTCTCGCTCCGAGTGAACGGTCTCGCTCCGAGTGAATGGCGTCCCTCCAAATGCTGTCCGGCCCTCGCCGTGCGAACGTTCAGTTCCCACGGTGGGCCGAGGGCTGCAGCCCCACTGTGGCGCATTCCAGCAGGGAGGCACTTTTACTTTTTATGAACATTGACAGCAGTGTTGAAAGTCAATGGACTGTAAACCAATTGTCAGTGGATTTTAAATGTTTCCAATGTTATAAATATTTTTAAAAGCGATGTATTCACACGCAGATATACACCACATGTTGTATACTGAGTTTGGATTTTAAAACGATAATGACAAGATAAAAGATCATAAAAAATTTCAAGGACATAGATCCCCCTTGATTGAGCCTTAACAGACTGGTGGGGCAAGTGCTGTTAGCGAGCATCTATTAAGGCCAGCAGGGCACACGAGGGGGTGGTGTGGCCAAAACCACGCCCAGCCAGCCAACCTTTTCTCTCAAGCGCTGATGTGTTCTCATTTAAGGCTGAGTCGACCTAAAGGAATCCCAGAACTGGTTCAGATAAATGTCACGATGCTGGCCGCGAGAGAGAATTGAGCTCGGGTCACCAGGTTTGGAGCACAGATCATAAGTTGAGAGACAGAGGCTCTGCAGACTGTAGTGCAGTGTTCGCAGCCCGGGATGCTCTGTGACACCCACCTGATCCTCACTGCGTCTCTCTGCTGCGCCACCTCCGCCGGCTGCTCATCCTTGGGCCTAGGTCGAGTTTCCAACAGTGGGCGCCGTTTACTGATCAGGGCGTCAGCTTTTGTTTTCTTTAGCTGCAACAATAATTCATTAGTGTAATTGGCTTTAAAAGTAGAATTGAGAAAAGCTATTCCTCTAGAGCAGTGTTTCCCAGAGTTTGGGTCACGGCACCAACCACAGGGGTCACAGTACCACCCACAGGGGTCACGGCGTCCTCTTGGGGGAGGTCGAGAGGGCTGCCATAGGACGAGCCATGAAACAGCGCCGTAGCTCCGTCAACACCGCGGGGACGCCACTCCACAGCGACTGCATCGAGTCCCACCGGAGGTCGCCTCGTGCTTGTGAACGACCAAATGGAGTCAAATGAAATCACAAAGCTCGACAATGTTGGAAATTGTTCATCCGTGACCTCTGTTCGCGAGTCTCCACAAGGCGTGAGGACGCACAGTTGATATTTGGGGTGGGCTCTGAACGAATTTAATCGTCACATATATAAAGGTTTTTATTCGTATTATTATTAGCACACTGGTGAGTGAATTTGAGAACAAATGAAATGCAACGTTTTCGTTATAAGCTGGGCCAAGCATCATCGGGACGAGATCATAGCAGCAGGCGCTGACTGCCATCCAGAAAGCCAGGCGAAGCTCCATAGTTTAGTGAGCGCTCGGGCATCTATGCAAGCGAGCGAGCGAGCGAGCAAGGTTGCGCGACCGTCTGACCCCACCTGCTCTGCCAGCAGCACTGGCGCCACCTTGGTGTACGTCCTGCCGCCGTAGCGGTGCTGGTACTCGGAGCTTCGCTGGAAGCTGCGCTTCGGTGCAACGTTCATCCCAGCCTTCCTCTTCAGCACGTGCTTCACCTTGCAAAGACACCGACGCGACTAATCAGCAGGCGACGCCACCCCACGGTGGCCGTTGTCGTTGCAGAAGTTTGGAGTGTTGAATCCATCGGTAGCCCTGGTAATTACTGCGGGTGTGATGATAACAACCGTGGTAATACTACGCACTCTCTGCTTCATGGTGGATGGTAAAGAACGCCCAATGTCATTTGCAAGAGAAGGTTATTGTGTGTCGTCGTCAGGGTCCAAATTTGACAAATTAAAAAAATTGCCCCGCAAATTACTCACTTAGGGATTACACACATAGCAATCATCGCCCCCTACCAGCAGATCGAATTCCCCAGGTCACTCTTGCAAAATGAGACTTTCCTTGTCTCCTGAGTCCTCACCTGATTACATGAAACAAACGTGAAACTTGATTATGAGGGCACACACCACAGTCCATCCAGTATGTGAGTACACTCCCCAACCTGGACCGATCCCACACAAAAGGTTCCTCCAGCCTTACATTACAAATTCTGGACAGGCACCTCCGTAACTCATTTAAAATCCATCCTTAAAACACGGCTTCGTTAATAATTATACTAATAATATAGTTAATTTGGTATTCGCGCCATTCGTATAGCGCGAGGCTATCACCAAGGAAGGCGCTACTGTGTTGCACAGACGTAGTCTGCAGTCGTTTCACCAGCGGGGGCGGTGTTACTGCGCCTAATCCCAACTGAAAAATTTGCCGTTTAATTTTTCAACTTTTGGAAAATATGGAACGTGACGCTGATGCCGAAACACAACGGCCTACTCATCTCGAATGACGTCACGGGATCTTTAACATACACCGTGAAGCAGACAGCGCCGTAGAATGTCGTGTGGTCAGTGCAGACAGCAGCAATAACCAAGGGCCATATCTCCACCACCAAAGCTATTTTAACACCACACTGTGCTTCATGAGATGAGAATATATCAATGTTTTTTTATATACTCGTGTCACCAAAGTTATCTGCAATATTATAATTTGAACATTAGCACCACCGATTAGCATGGCTACATACGGTGAGAAAGAGGTGCAACATACGACAAACAGCAGCAATGATGAATTCACATGATTTTTAGCTCTTTTCTGGAAACATCAAAACCGCTCACAGCACTCGCTACCCAGCCGAACTCACCCCTTCGGACACATTGGCCTCCACTGCGCGAGCTGCCTGAAAATCCGGCGCGCTCGGTGCTTGCTTGGGAGATGGTGGGGACAGGATGACCAGACTTGTCTGAGCGGCAGGGCACCATTGCGGTAAGTGACTTCTCTGCCGGTCTCTCGTGAGTCGCACGCGTAGCCGTGTTTGACAAGCTCTCTGCAGCGGGTGTGATGTCAGCAGCCGCCTTGTCTTCCGTACGCTTAACCCTCTGTCCTTTGGGCGAGGTGATTATGGGAACTGAAACGGCGCTTTTCCTTTCTGCCTTCGACACCGGACGTGCACTCGAGGCCACCGTGAATTTCATGTCTCTGTTGTTTGCATCGCGGCCTGAGAGGTCGCGGCCTGAGAGGTCACGGCCCGAGAGGTCGTGGCTCTCAGCGTTCCACTGCAGCGACTCTCCGACCCGGGGAAACGTAGTAGGGCACCCTGCGCTTAGAAATGAAGCCAGGCTCCCGGGAAATTCCTGCGGAACAGAACACGGTGGCCTCCGGTCAAGTTGAGGTTTATTTGTTTAACCAGGTGAGAGGTCAAGAGACCAAGATAAGTCTCATTCGCCAGAGTGACTTGGGTCACCAAAATCACAAAAGCAAAACAAATAAAGTACAGAAACGAAGCAAATAGAATTCAGAGCAAAAACAACAGCACGTATGTATGGCGACATTTTTTCGCGCCGTAAGTAGCCAACCATACTAATCGGAGGTGCTGGGGGAAGGACAACAAACTAAACACAAAAAGCAGTTCCAAATAAATTCTTTTCAATCTAGATTTAAAAGTGCATAGCTCCCAGTGGCTTCTTAATATCGGAAGGAAGAGAGTTACTAACGGCCACAAAAGCACATCTGAAAGCTGCGCGATGCAGTGATCGTCACATGACAAAAAAAATCCAAGTCATCCTGAAAGGTAAAAATGTGAAGGTGCAGCAGCCCTGCGAGTGCTCGCTCTCTCTGCCACTGCTGGCACAGGAGCCTCCACGATAGGGAGCTCAAGAGAGATCATCTAGAGCTGTCGGGTTTTCACCTGGGGGAGATGCATCCCCTGGGGGTGCGAGATTCCATTTTCAGGGTGCGAGACGTGCCAGATTGTTTTCGACGCGACTTTACCGAAAGGTAGTAATGGTTAAGAACCATTGCTCTAGAGGATATTGTACCTACTCTTCCACACCGGCCAGACGTTTTGTAAGAAGTGGGCGTACCCACACCTTACCCCACCACACGCAACCTGCCGATTCAACCGACTGTGGTGAACTCACGTATGCTGCTGCTAGGTGGACCGAGGTGGTGGAAGTGGAGTGGGGGGGGGATATTAGGGTTCAGATTAGGAAGATCGAACCGATGGCCTCTGGATTGCAGGTCCGGTTTGCTAACCGTGCATTCATCGGACAAGCGCCATACACCTGGCACAGCATTGCTGCAACTAGAAGCTCCTGGGGACCCGGGTGCACGCGGCAGAATGGGGGCACAGCGCACACAGACGATGATGAAGCTGCTGCTGCTGCTGCTGCAGCTCGTGATGATGAAAATGAATATTGTAAAGATGAGATTGATGTACCTATGGGACCTTTATGGCAGTATGAAGACGATGACAAAATATAAATAGGCTTTAACCCTTTCTGGAAATAAAAAAAGGTGTTAAGATGTTCAAACACCAATGCGTATATTATCAGAGCATGATTGTTTGCAAGTTTTGCCAGAGGTATGTGTGGTTAATGAAGACCTGATGCCTTGCAATAGGTATCTATTTGATCTTTCACAATCTTAACAAGTCCTATATTATTGCCACAAAGGATAAAGCTTATTTTTATGACATTGATGCCAAAAAAAGATTCAGTTCATTAAAATAAGTAGTTCATATTGTGTTTAACACGTAGGTTTTCGCGACTAATATCAGGTTTTTTTGGGTTAGATCGCATAAATATATAAATGTATCATTAAACCCGCCACCACCCGACACTGCCAACTAGTAAGGGTTGTCATGTAAACAGAACATGCCAATTCGTCACTAGTACAGCCCGCCAGTGTGTTGGAGAGCCAAGCCACAATATTTACAATCTGAGTACGACGTTTCGCCAGTAATTACAACTATCTTCATCAGGCGACAGCCAGATTTGTGGAGAAGTCCACCTGTTTCGTTCCTTATATAGAGGCGTCGATGTGGTGACCACGCTTCTGTGCTCTTGAGTCAACATACATTATGCATGCACATTATGCGGGCCCATTGATAGATCAATAGGGATTACTGTTGGTACGGCTATTTTAATACACACAATGGACAGGAAGGACAAGATGAAGCTAGTTGTAATTACTGGCGAAACGTCGTACTCAGATTGTAAATGTTGTGGCTTAGCTCTCCAACACACCGGCGGGCTGTACTAGTGACGAATTGGCCACGTTCTGTTGACGTGACAACCCTTACTAGTTGTCTGTGTCGGGTGGTGGCGGGTGTAACGACACATTTATATATTTACGCGATCACCCAAAAAACCTCTATTATGGGTTAATATTTGTTTCTAGTTAATTTCGGTTCGGTCAGACTCTCTGATTTTATACTGTTTCACTGCTCCTACACTAACCCATCGGTTATATGTGTGACTTCAAAATTACAGAGTCGCTGTTTAATTCCACAGATCTCACTACATCGTGAAGGGCAATTGTGCACGCAATCTCTCTCCGTGGCCTATACGGGTGCCTTTCATTGATGTGGTAATATGATTATCGGCTTCTTTACGCTAAAAAAATAAATGTTTACAGAAACACCTGCACAAAATAGACAAGTGGATGGATACGTCTCCTCCAGCACGGAACATCAGCGTCTCCACAACAACGCGCATTTCCTGTATATTCCGTCCATTGAATGCTCTCTATGTTGCTCTTATATTTTATATATATAGATACATATTTTTTTTACTGTAATAGCTTGTTTAGTATGTATATTATTGAATACTTTTGTTCAGTGCTTTGAGCAGGGAAGCACTATATCAATAAAATGCATTATTACTGTACATGTATTTTTTCTCACGCAGCTCCATCGGCACAGCTATTTCGTTCATTGCAATCTCCGCAACAACGACGCCCGTGACGATGTTGCGCGTGACGACGTTGCCCGTGTCGTGTGTTGCAGGTGACGATATTGCACGTGACGATGTTGCGCGTGACGATGTTGCTCGTGACGATGTTGCGTGTGACTATATTGCACGTGACTGTATTGCACGTGACGATGTTGCGCATGACGATGTTGCGCGTGACGATGTTGCGCGTGACGATGTTGCGTGTGACTATATTGCACGTGACTGTATTGCACGTGACGATGTTGCGCGTGACGATGTTGTGCGTGACGATGTTGCGCGTGACTATATTGCACATGACTATATTGCACGTGACGATGTTGCGTGTGACTATATTGCACGTGACTATATTGCGCGTGACTGTATTGCACGTGACGATATTCCACGTGACGATGTTGCGCGTGACTATATTGCACGTGACTATATTGCGCGTGACGATGTTGCGCGTGACTATATTGCGCGTGACTATATTGCACGTGACGATATTGCACGTGACGATGTTGCGCGTGACGATGTTGCGCGTGACTATATTGCACGTGACTATATTGCACGTGACGATGTTGCACGTGACGATGTTGCGCGTGACGATGTTGCGCGTGACGATGTTGCGCGTGACGATGTTGCACGTGACGATGTTGCACGTGACGATGTTGCACGTGACTATATTGCGCGTGACGATATTGCACGTGACGATGTTGCGCGTGACGATGTTGCACGTGACGATATTGCACGTGACGATGTTGCGCGTGACGATGTTGCGCGTGACTATATTGCACGTGACTATATTGCACGTGACGATGTTGCACGTGACGATGTTGCACGTGACGATATTGCACGTGACGATGTTGCACGTGACGATGTTGCGCGTGACGATGTTGCACGTGACGATGTTGCGCGTGACGATGTTGCACGTGACGATATTGCACGTGACGATGTTGCACATGACGATGTTGCGCGTGACAATGTTGCACGTGACGATATTGCACGTGACGATGTTGCACGTGACGATGTTGCACGTGACGATGTTGCGCGTGACGATGTTGCACGTGACGATATTGCACGTGACGATGTTGCACGTGACGATGTTGCGCGTGACAATGTTGCACGTGACGATATTGCACGTGACGATGTTGCACGTGACGATATTGCACGTGACGATGTTGCACGTGACGATATTGCACGTGACGATGTTGCACGTGACGATATTGCACGTGACGATATTACGCGTGACGATGTTGCACGTGACGATGTTGCACGTGACGATGTTGCGCGTGACGATGTTGCGCGTGTCGATGTTGCGCGTGACGATGTTGCGCGTGACGATGTTGCAGGTGACGATGTTGCACGTGACGATATTACGCGTGACGATGTTGCACGTGACGATGTTGCGCGTGTCGATGTTGCACGTGATGATGTTGTGCGTGACTATATTACGCGTGTCGATGTCGCGCATGACAATGTTGCGCGTAACGATGTTGCCCGCAACGTAGATTGCGACGCATACGGGCCACGTACCCAACTCATCCGAGCGGAGGCCAGCCCAAGCCACCTTCTTGGTCATGTTTGTTCCCTTCATTGCAAAGAAAAAGACAAGATTACTTTTTTTCCCTCCTGGGGAAAAAAAGATTGAGATCAGAAATGTCCTTTTCAAAGGACACCTGCTTGGTTAATATCATAACAGTGGCAACGTAATGATGATGGCAATGATTTGTGTACGATCACGGCTGCCTTGCTTTCCCGCCAGGGCATTCTCAGAGAAAGCTTCAAACGCCGATAACTGACTTACATCAACACCTCAGCTCAAGCATTTGAAAGGGCATCTTTGGCAAAAGTCTGACGACAGGGCGTGATGATGCTGCACGCAATCCCGGTTGAGTTATTTGCTGCTGATTTGTTAACGACGCCAATTTGGGTCGCACCACCGTCACACGATGTCCCTGTTCGTTTACAAATGTCACGAGGGGGGGATCTTTCGCCTCCACCGTGAAGCCGACGGAGTGAAGCATTTGCATGATTCACACGCCGACAGGGCAGATTGCCTGACACTCCATGGCTACAAAGACAACGATCCCCCGTGGAGCCTTCCCAGGCTGTTGGGGCAAGTGCTGCTCGCGAGCACCTATGAAGGCCAGCACAGCACGCGAGGTGGGTGGCCAGCACAACGTCCGACGGCCTTTGACTCCCTCGTGTCGTCTTTACGCATCGCTGGTAGCAGCAGGTTACGGGACCAATGCCCCATCTGTGCTCTCCACTGTGCCAAATTGCTGCGTTTGGGAGAGCAGTGTGCCAAGCACTGCGCCACCATACTCCACACACACTATGCCTGCCTGCACATGACACACACACACTATGGTTACACATGACACACACACTTTGACTGCACATGACACGTACACTATGGCGACACATACACCATGGCTACGCGTGACACACATGACACACGCTATCGCACGCAGGATTCACTTCACCTCGCATGCGACGTGAGACGTTCAGCGGCTCCCTCCCTCCCTGTGTGTTGCGGCAGCCTGTGAGGAGGAGCAGCAGCAGCAACAGGCTCTGTATGTGTGTGGCAGGCTGTGTGTGTGTGGCAGGCTGTGTGTGTGTGGCAGGCTGTGTGAGGAGTAGCATGGAGGCTGTGTGAGGAGTAGCAAGCAGGCTGGGTCGCCTTGGCTACCATTGGCGCCGCGTCCTTCGATACTCCCCGCGCTGTGCCGGGCTTTGTGTCCAAAGAGCACCCACCCCGCTCTCCGATTCGCACTCCCACCCACTCCCATTTACTCTCCCACCTACCCCCCCCCCCCGTCACTCTCCCATTCACTCCCACACCCTCTCCCATTCCCTCTCCTACCCACCCACATTCACTCTCCCAACCACTCTTGCACTCCCTCTCCCACCCAGTCTTCCAATCCCACACACTCTCCCACGCAATCCAGTTCAATCTCCAACCCACTCTCCCACCCGCTCTCCCACCCGCTCTCCCATCCACTCTTCCAATCACCACCCACTCACCCACGCACTCCTGTTCACTCTCCCACCCACTCTCCCATTCCCTCTCCCACCCACTCTCCCACCCACTCTTCCAATCACCACCCACGCACTCCTGTTCACTCTCTCACCCACTCTCCCATTCCCTCTCCCACCCGCTCTCCCACCCACTCTTCCAATCACCACCCACTCACCCACGCACTCCTGTTCACTCTCCCACCCACTCTCCCATTCGCTCTCCCGCCCACCCACCCAATCACTCGCATCCACTCGGCATCTCGGTCCGCCGGCGTGACGAACCGGCTCCGTGACCCCGCAGCGCCTGCAACGTTCCGAACGCTCGCGCCTTTGACACCGACACGGGGAGCGGTGCGGGGGGGCAAGAAGGAGGAGGGGGAGGAGGGTGCTCGCTAACAGCACTTGCCCGAGCAGTACGCGAAGGCTATACGGGAGGAGGGGGGTCGTTGTCTTTGTGTGGCTCCGCGAGACGCGCGTTGGTTTTGCGCTCCCGAACGGCATCGCTCGCCACGGACTCTGAGCAGCCTGACGGCCCCGAGGCGTCGAGTGTCCACACGGGTTCAGAGTGACTGAGTGTGTGTGGTGGGTTTTTCTCTCTCCCTTTCTTGAGTTGAACCGATACTGCTGACATGATGCGCTCCCACAAGGCCTGTGTGAGCTGACGTGGTTTGCACGAACCACTCGCCACGGGAATCGGCCTCTGTGTTGTTGTTTGTGCTGCTGGCTGTGTACCGTCACGTTGAATGCATGACCGTGCCATTCGTAACTGGACAATGTACAGTTGTTTTTATTTCATCTTGTTCGTGTGTTATATTTTTTAAGCTGTAGTCTCTGACGTAACCACACAAGTCAGAAAATGAGCACTTGCTGTCCATTGGGTTTTACCTGTGCTAAAACGAAAAGCTAAACTAGTATTTGTATTGTGTGGAGAGACGCAGGCGTGGAAAGGAGGCGAATGGCCGGGTTGTTTGTGTCGTACCTGGGTGGGTCTGTGGCACCTGGGCGGACCTTCCGTACCTGAGCGGGTCTGTGGCACCTGAGTGGACCTGTCGCACCTGGGCGGGTCCGTGGCACCTGGGCCCACCTGTCGCACCTGAGTGGACCTTCCGTACCTGGACGTATCCGTGGCACCTGGGCGGACCCGTCGTACCTGGGCGGGCCCGTCGTACCTGGGCGTATCCGTGGCACCTGGGCGGACCCGTCGTACCTGGGCGGGCCCGTCGTACCTGGGCGTATCCGTGGCACCTGGGCGGGCGGTTGGTATCTTTATCCTGCCCGGCGTGCCATCTACTCCACCGCACGCGGAGGCTGCGCTGAGGCTCGCGATGGCTTCCAAGGACCTGCTCAAGTGTGCCAAGTACATCCTGCTGGCTGTGAACCTCCTCTTCTGGGTAAGTGGGCAGCGCGCTCGCTGCGATGGAGCACACACGCCGTACGTAGGTGGTGGTTGTGGTGAGGACACACGTGGGGTACAGGTGGGCAACTTCTATCGATTGTTTTTAACGATACGCGGTTTGTTTTTGGGCAGATTCTATTTTGCTTCGTTGTTTTGTACGTCGTTTGTGCATTATTGCTTTTGTTAGTGTTGTGATCGCTCTTTCAATTGAGTCTTATTCTCGTCTCTTTCGAGTTCTCGCCTGGTTGAACACAACGGACTTGGCAACACACCTGGCAGGTAGAGAGAGGGAGCGAGGCTGGACAGGTTATGGCGCCCTCCGTAACGACAGAAGCAGTCTCTCTCCACTGCTGCTGCTGTGCGTCTCGCCTTGATCCATGTTGAGTACACAGGGGAGTAAACAAGCGAGTAAACAAGCGAGTACACAGGCTCACTTTCTGCCCATACAAATGGCCGTGTTATACTGCCGGTGGTGGTGTAATGGTTAACCAACAATTGAACCCCGGTTAGCCCTGGCAGCCAGGCTTAAACCATGGCCACGAGCTCTGTTCAAGGACCTCGTTTGAAGAGTGGAGGAGGCAGCGAGTTTCCGATGCTGCTGCTGCGTTTTCAAGGAAAGAGGCCATCCTCCCCACTCGGCTCCACCGGCCTCCATTCTCCGTTCTCAGAGGAGGGGACCGCGCGTTCGTGAGAGCTGCCGGCCACAGTCCGCGTGATGCAAGAGCGCGCACGAGCGGGCAGCAACACGAACTCCCTTGCCATGGGCCGTCTCCTCTAGAGAGAGAGGGAGAGAGAAACCCCAATATTTCTTTACACATCCCATCAGCCACAGTGAAGTGCACAGTTTTCAATGGCAGTGGTTCACCGCAGCGGGAGGAGGAAAAATAACTTCTGGATCAAATCTGTTTCGACGCTCGGCGTCTCATCCGGAGAACTGATTATCTTCGGTGGTGGTTCATCGATTTTGAAACAATTGCCGCTAGCTTGGCTCTCCCGCCCCCCCTCCGAGATATGCTCGCGTGTGAAGGAGGAGAGTGGGGGGTGCAGAGGAGTGGCGGGGGGCTGGTGCGGTCGCGTCACCAACCCTCCCCCCAGGGGTTGACACCTGGAGTCCTCTGCCGCTTGCCGATCATTCCGTGTTCCGCCCACCTGGCACAGCGGCGAGTCCAACGCGCATCGTCACGTGTTGTGCAAGTGTCGTGACTGACTCAGAGACACTAAGAGTAGGAGGCACTCTGTTTATTAACACGGCCTCACAGTTAACACTTTGTAACTACGGTTCCCAGTCAGGACAGCTGGTAGACTGCCTGACTGACGACACCGAGATGGTGAAGACTGAGACGACGAGAAGAACGGTGACATCTCCAGCAGCACGACGGGGATCCCCCTCCACACGACAGCCCCGAGGTCCCCTCCAGGGGCCCCTCTTATACTGTCAGCGTGGCCTGGCTCCGCCCCCGGCCACGCCCCCTTTCTGGAACCTACCCGCGGGTTCTCGATGTTCCCCTTCCGTGACTCTTTCCCTAGATCAGGGGTGTCCAAACTTTTTGCAAAGAGCGCCACATTTGATAAAGTGAAGATGCCCGGGGGCCAATAGTTCCTTTTGACATTTTTTTAACCACAAAAGTTACGTGGGAATGCACACCGTTATAAAACAATTTTCATTGTCACAATTACCTTTATTTTTTAATGACAATGTAACCAAATATAAGCCACTCAGGCAGACGTGAACAACTCTAAAAACGCAATTCTACCTTTCATTCAGTCAGATAACATTGAACAAACTGTATAGAATACCTTACATTTCCATGAGTGTTATGATGTATTTATTTTTCGATTGAAAGCTTTCGTCACTGCAGGGATTCATCTTCTTGGTTCTTTCGGTAAAGTCACGTAGAAGGGAAGTAATAAAATAGTTAGTTTTTTACGTGTTGTTTAGTAACTGCAGCTACATACTATTAACATTCCTTCCCTTTGTTAATGCTACCCCAATCCTGCATAATGCACGGGCATAATATGACTTTGAAACCCCCCGCCCACCTCCTACGCATTTCCCATAAATATGCTAAATTCCTCTTGATATGCAAATTCTTTTGTCAAGGCGCTCTTCTTCCCCCCTCCAACCCAGCTTAAATATACGCTCCAAGCTTGGTGGTGTTTCATTCTTCACCTGAGGACGGCTGCTTGCGTTGTGGCCGAAACGTCGTGAGAATTATTTTATTATGTTTTATTTTTATTATTTATTACTTCCCTTCTACGTGACTTTACCGAAAGAACCAAGAAGATGTATTTATTCTGACAGAGCTGGCGAGCCATAAATAACACATTATAAGACCGAAGCTGCGGGCCGTATGAATCTGCCCGCGGGCCGGACTTTGGACATGCCTGCCCTAGATCCCTCTCTGGTCTATCACGTGGCCTGCTGTCGGTCAGGGCTCCTGTAAGCTGCAGATCCCCTTCCCTGCCAGCAGCCAGTGCTATGCTGCTACGTGACCGATTCTATGTCACTACACAAGTATACAGTGTAGCAACATGAGCTCAGTTCGAATCCAGCCTGATGCATACGTATGTACACGCATGTTGAACTTCTTCCGCACCGTACGTAGCCAGCCGTGCTAATCGGTGCGACACATTGACGTGTCGCCATTGTGTTTTCTATGAAGAAGAAGGACCATTGCCCGAAACGTCGCCTATTATATAGTTTTATACTTGTCAACTCCTTATCAGTGCCTACCTTATTATAGACCAATTCAGACCTTATTGATCACCCCGTGCCCTTATTAATCTCAACGTTCATCCTACAAAGTAACATTCAAAAGGTGAGAAACAAATAATTAGACATTTTTTTTATTTTTGCCCATTCTGGAACGGCTGTACGCCATATGGTCCAGAAAACTCAATTTCCCTGTACAAGAATACGGGTAAACTGTATGGGTTGATAGGTGTGTAGTTTTACATTTGAAGGCCACAATGTTATTGAGGTGTGTTGAGGGAGTATCTTTTTTTATTGTTGCTTGTGCACCACTGCCAACGAGGAAGCATCACCAGATAATGTGTTTAAGTCACGACCATTTGATAGCAATGACAAAGATCCCCCCTATAGCCTCCACTAGACTGTTGAGGCATGTGCTGTTAGCGAGCGCCTATGAAGGCCGGGAAGGCACACGAAAAGATGGGTGGGCAACGTCACGCCCGGCCTCCTTTGCCTCTCCAGTTCTGATATTTACACACCAGACACTAACTTCGAGCTTAGTCGACCTAGGGGGAGGTCCACGACTGGTTCAAATATTCACCACCGATATTGGTCGTGAGCTCGGATCGAACTCGGGTCTTCGAGTGACGGAGCGCTAACCACTGCGCTATCATCCCCCTCGCCGCCAGCAACACAACGACTGTGGTGTGGTGCCCCTTTCGTCACCATAGCAACCAAGCCCCAAAAATCCTCTGCACCTTCCACCCGGGCGATTACAAAACGGAGAAGCCGAGATAACGAACGACTCCAGGTTCCTGAGACGCGTACGATTTCGATTCGCAACGTTCGCTGTATGTAGGAGGTAAAGGCGCAGCACTGAAATATCTTCTCGCCCCACGCCACGACCGTGCTGGCAGAAGCGCGTCTACTGGAGGGAGCTCCGGACAGCACCTTGAGAGGGTGTGGGTTTCCCTCGCTCTACGCCCGGTTAGGTTTATGTGCGATTTTGCGCTGTATATGATTGCAGCTGAACTATTTCTACCAAAACAATTTCGCTCTTCTACGTAGAATTAAGTTCACTCCACATGCGGCTATGCGGTCGAACGTAGGACAACACTGTGTGCGTACTGTATGTGTACCGTGTGTGTATCGTGTTCGCACCGTATGTGCGCTGTATGTGTACTGTATGTGTACTGTGTGTGTATTGTAGCGCTACTCGGCAGACAGCTGTCTCCTCGGGCGGTTTCACTTAATGCTACATTTTTTTGGGAACGCATCTACTACTACGACTACTACAGGGTGCAGCGAAGGAAACCTGTATTAGGCTTACTTTCACATACTGGACAAACGCCTTGGAAGAGTATGAAAATAATAGGTTTTACCCTTTCTGGCAATAAAACAGGCGTTAAGATCTTCTTGGTTCTTTCGGTAAAGTCACGTAGAAGGGAAGTAATAAAATAATAAAAATAAAACATAATAAAACAATTCTCACGACGTTTCGGCCACAACGCAAGCAGCCGTCCTCAGGTGAAAACCAGGTCCGTCGAGGCGACAGAGTCTGAATGAAACAGCACACGAGCTTGGAGCATATATATGAACTGGGCGCATTGACAAAGGAATTTGCATATCAAAAGGAATTTAGCATATTTATGGGAAATGCAGGAATGTGATTAGTACTGCATATGCATGTGCATTATGCAGGATTAACAGCATCAAAGGGAGCTGCAGTTACTGCTGCTGCAGCAGTTGCTGCTGCTGCAGCAGTTGCTGCTGCTGCTGCAGTTTCTGCTGCTGCTGCAGTTGCTGCTGCAGTTGCTGCTGCTGCACTTGCTGCTGCTGCTGCACTTGCTGCTGCTGCTGCAGTTGCTGCCTTATCCATTTTAATATAACACTATGTATTATTCTACCCACCCTAATGTGTATCATACTGCTATATGTTTACTGTACAATTACGACACCATACATTACTCTGCACACTGCACCATGCCAGTGAGTGGAACGCGGTCTGAAAGTCACCGTAAACGTGAACACAATCAGTTAAGATCCGAAATGGTTTATTACGTCCTTCCAATGATTGCTAAGCCAGAATCCATCTTCTCGGTTGAAATTGTCTCTGTGTTTGTATATGTGGATCGCCTCATGAACGAATCTCTCATGATAGCCAGATGGCTTGCAGAGAACCTCTGTCTTGGAGAAGTCAATGTCATGTGAGCCCACTGAATTGTAACAGTGATCTGCCACGGCTGAGGTGTTTGTCCTACCGTGTTTCAGGTCTGCCTTATGTTCACGGATGCGGTCCGAGACATGTCGTTTGGTTTCTCCAATGTAACTGCTACCACAGAGGCAACTTAGTTTGTAGACGCCAGGGTACTGTATGTCTGGAACCACATCTTTTACAGACGGGACCAGATCACGGATTTTTATGTACTGTGTTGAATCGGACCTGGATCTTGTGTTTAATCAGGATTTTGGAGATCTTTTTTGTGACCCCAGCAATGTAGGGTAAGGTGATGGTCTTGAAAGGCTCCTCAACAGGATCCTTCTTGATGGTTGGAGTGATGGCTTTGCGGATTGTGTAGTCGGAGTAACCATTAGCCTTAAGAGCTTGGCGTACGTGTTTGAGTTCACTGGAAATGTGTTCATGGTCGGAGATGCATTGGGCTCTATGATATAGAGTCTTGATGAGGGAATTCTTCTGGGATGGATGGTGGTGGGAATCCGGTTTTAGATAAGCATCCGTGTGGGTGGCTTTCCTGTAGACAGAGTGGCTCATTGAACCATCAGGTCTCCTTTTGATTAGCACATCCAAAAAGGGTAGCTTGCCATCATTTTCGACTTCCATGGTGAATCTGATGGCTGGGTGTATGGAATTGATGTGGTCGAGAAATTGGTCTAGAGCAGGCCGGCCATGTGGCCAGATGACAAAAGTGTCGTCTACGTACCTCTTCCATAAGGTCGGGCGTAGAGTGGCAGTCTGGATGGCGTCCGTCTCCATGAAGATGTTGGCTACAACCGGAGATAGGGGGGAGGACGGCTGCTTGCGTTGTGGCCGAAACGTCGTGAGAATTGTTTTATTATGTTTTATTTTTATTATTTTATTACTTCCCTTCTACGTGACTTTACCGAAAGAACCAAGAAGATGAATCCCTGCAGTCACGAAAGCTTTAAATCGAGGCGTTAAGATCTTGATTTGAAGCTTTCGTGACTGCAGGAATCCATACTCTTTGGTTCTTTCGGTAAAGTCACATAGGTGGAAAAAAAATAGATCACGATCTATTATTTTTCTTCATACACCGCATAGAAACCTTTTTGCAAGGAATCATGTCTGCATTAACCACAAATACTGTACTTGATGCGAACATGCCAACAAAAACATGCTCTGATAGTAGTGTTTCTGCATTGTCTTTGAAACTGATTGGTACACACCAGAGACAGCCTTCTTTAGGACATTAGTCTTACCAGTGTCAGACCAGAGAATGCCAAAAGGCGAAGAGTACAAGGAAATGCACCATCAGGGCATTTATAGCTTGGGTGAGCAAAAGGTTGCTATTTGGTGTTGGAACATCTTGACAACTGTTTTATTGCCAGACAAGGTAAAACCTATTCTTATGTTTTTTTCATGCCTTGGAAGAGGTGGGAGTACCCACACTTTACCCCACTGCCACACACGACCTGCCAATCGACTAACTGTGCCGTACCCTTGTATAGTGCTGTGTGGACAAAAATTTAAGGGTTCGGGGGAGGGGATTTAAAAAGACAACGTGTCGAACCTTGACCCTCTCCAACACAATAACAACAAGAGCTAAGTAAGCAGCGTTTGCTGTGCCCACTGCTTCGTGAGGTATCCACCAGGTGACTTTGTTGCAGATGCTGTCCCTCGCAGTGCTGTGCCTGACTGCAAAACTGAGATGGCAGGTGAACGGAGCTCTGATCCTCACCGCGGACACCAGGTGAGGCTGCGATGAATGCCCGACACACGCAGCTCTTGCAGTGTCAATTGTCGAGCCGTCGCCCTCTGTTCCACGACAAAGTTCACCCTTTCCGAGACATCTGCAAGTTGCAGGGTGGGGTCCCGTTCACCGCTGAATCTCGGAACGCAGCAAGCGGTTCCTGTTAGTTTTATAGAGAGAGGCATCGCCATTGTTTTAAAAAGACATTGTACTCACCACAGAAAACTGTCGCGACACGACCGTACTCTATGATAGCTGGCACCATACTGTGCTACATACCCTCCCGCATGGCCTTGTGGGAGAATCGGTATCGATCAAATTATTTTATTTTAGTTTTACTACCGGTTCTGTTCTGATGACGTACGTGTACGTCATCAGAATGGGAATGGGAAAGGGCTTAAGCTCAAGGCAGCCTTCTGACAATGAGATGGAAGCTCTGTCCGGGCTGACGGTGATGATCATCACCAAATACCGCAGCAAATGGCATGCACGCGGTGCCACGAGGGCGTACAGTTGATCGTGGGTAGTGCGTGGGTGGTTGACCACCACGCATAGGTTGTTACTGGCCGTGCGGCTATCGTGGTGGGCTGCAGAGAGCAGTGCAGCAGACTCCATTCTACTGCGCATTGTTGCTCGCGAGTCTATGCCTCCCCGTCTTCACAACCCCGCGCCGATCAATGTGGCGATAGTTTGATCAAATACTACCCCCTCCCACAACCCACATGGCATGGGGAGGCCCTCACACAGCAGTGGACTGACAAGGGGCTGCGCTCGAAGTGCGAATAACATCACGTGGTGTGGCAGCCTGGCAGGTGCGTTTGCAGAGACCTACTCGTCGACCCTGCAGATGGTGATGGTGGCCGTCTCTTGCCTACTCATCCCCCTGGGTATCCTGGGCTGCTGGGGCACGGTGCAGGGCCGCACCGCAATCCTCGTGGTGGTGAGGCCTCTTTGCAGTGCATGTTGTCCATCACAACGGCAGGACCCCACTCACATCCACGGAAATCCGAGGGGGGTTGGGGGAGTGCCCGGATTTTCCGAGCCCTCACCCCACCTCGGTGTAAAAAGGGGGGCCATTAATAGTGCCATTAGGTGAACTCCAAGGTCACACTCATTACACACGTAGTGCTTGCCACAAATGAATCGCAATGCCTTTACTGATTTCGTTAAGGAGCATAAATCATCACGCGTACTCCGGTCGTCCTCGCAGCGCAGCGGCTTTTGGCTAACCATCAAACAAAGACGGTCACCGCATCGTGCGCTTTCTAGGTGTTCTGTGGCCGTCTGCAATGCTCTTCCGATATTAGGAAGCCACCGGAGCTATGCACTTTTAAATCTAGATTTAAAACAAATTTCTTTTTAACTGCATTTTGTCACTTAGTTTGTCCTTTCCCTGCACATCCAATTAGCATGCTTAGTTAGTGTGGTGCGAAAGAAGCCGAACATATATAATACAACACAGGGTTAATTGTGCAAGTTTTGTCTCTAACTCTCAGGCTCGCAATAGCGGCATCATCATTATCACCACCATCAGTAGTCACAGCTTCCTGCCTTCCTTTCGATTTCTAGCTTCTGGAGCCTCTTTATACAGCAGCAGCTGAGCCAGTTACCCAGGCACGTATGTAACGCATGCGCTTTCCCACCAATCAGGTGAGTATTGTTTTTATGTAACCACCCACCCCAGCCCCATTGAATGCCACTGTTTGCCAAGCGAATTTTTATTTTATTTTTACCAGGTAAGGCCCACTGAGCAGCGGTCTGGCCACAAATGATCGCTCAACAAAGTGGCTTATCATGTGGAAATTTACAGCAGGCAAATACTCTAAACGCATGTTTCTAAATGTGGAAGTAAAACCCAGAGGATCTGCTGAAAATTTCACGTAACCACAGGGAGAGAACATGTAAACTCCAAATATACGGGCGTCTAGGTTGAAAACACGTTTCTTTCTAACTGCTTTTTGTGTTTATTTTATGTCCTTTCCGCCCCACCTCCGATTAGCGTGGTTGGCTACGTACGGTGCGAAAGAAGTTCAACATGCATACATATAATCACTGCTCCTCTTTGCAGCACTAATTGGGGGTTCTGATATTCCAGCTGGTTGGACCCTTCTTCATAGTTATACACTTACGAAAAAAAACACTCGCAAGTTGCAAATTCAGGTTTTTGTATTTTGGTAAATTTCTCCAGTTTTGATCAAGTTGCCACTGCTCTGCATTGTCGCACCTTCGATTAACACGGCTGGCTATATACTGTGCGAAAGAAGTTCAACATACATACCATACCTATCAACTCCGTATCAGTGCTGTTGTGTATATGCCCCCTTTTTATTTTTTTTAAATATTTTTTTTTTAAGAATTATTCTGCCAACATAGATAATATCGTTTTTTTTAATAGACGCGGCCACGTGGGAACGAACACGCCCCCACACTTCCACAGAGGCCCCCACACTTCCACAGATGCGCGCATACCTCATTTCAAAGGAAAGAGGACATGAAAGGGGGGGCAATAAGGTAATAAAAAAAAACTCCCCTAAATTCACACAAGAGGAACAAGGGAGGGGGGGAATTGCAGGCGGGGGGTTGCAGAACCAGGAGACACGGAGGAAGAGATAATTATATTCTTAACAAAGAAACAGCATCGACGACAAAAAGCACAGATGGGTCCTTGAACCATATTAAATACACAAGTTACCAACTTAACCATAAAGATTAAGCAAACAGTATCCATCCTCACTCCAATTGAAAACCAGACGACAATCAAAACCAGAATCGCGACCCATCATTGTTAATAAATACTGACATTATTTACCTTTAAAGAATATCTACACGGCCGGGCCGAAGCATCAAAGAATAATTATGGCATCGATTTCGCTCCAAAACAAAATTCCTAGCCGGGATATCAGATCAAATAATCACAAGAAGTCAAATAATAAGTACGGAATTAAAGTAGAAGAGGAATCAAGGGCGGAGAAGGCTCTCAAAATTAACCAAACACAACACCCATGGGAAGCGAGCAACACGGCCGCCTTTGTCTTTCCGAGAGGATCACGACACACAGGCACCAAGCCAGGAAATGACACCCATAAAAGTTGGGGCAAGGGCTCAAAGGGAATTAACACACGCCTTCGAATAAATAAACACGCCGGGTGCTCCCACCGTGGAAACAACCGCCTTTGTCTTCCCACAACACGGACAGCAAAAATTGCACAAACCAGGAAATGACATTTCCATGGGAGATCGGGTCACGATGAAACATCGTGAACACTGTTTCGGCATAACCAAGCAGCAAATAAGTCGCATTTCAACTTCCAAACCAAACCAACTTAAGCTGTGTGAGACAAAGGATGTGATCCCAGAGCAAGGGAGTGAATAGTTAAGCTCGCTTAACGCGTAGGTTTTCGCGACAAATGTTATTCAGTAACAAAACATGGATTCGAATGTTTTTTTTTTAACTCAACGCGAATCATCGGTCTGGCTAATGGATAACTTCTGAAGCAGCCGACACGAGGCCCCCACCCCCTTTCTTCCAGAACGACACACACAGCTGTGTCTTCAAAGCTAATAAACACACGGACAAACACGCACGCGAAACACACGAACGGACACACACACGGACGCAGATGGTCCACCCCCACAGGAAGGTTTTATGACACAGCTTTTGAACAACTCGGGGAGCCGAGTGGAATTTTCCGATATAAACCGAAGGAAAATCCATACAACACAGATCGACAGGGGCTTTGGCCTCCATCACAGTTCGTCAGGGGCTCTGGCCCCCATCACATATCGTCCGGGCTTCGGCTCCAACACACATATCATCCGGGCTACGAGCCCATCTTCGGCTCCACCACAGATCGACAGGGGCTCTGGCCCCCATCACAGATCTCCAGGGCTGTGGCTCCATCTCTCCTCGTCGCCGCCAACGAAGAAGCTCCTGTCATTCAGAATGACGAGGTTTGCGGAGTAGCGACGCGTAGCTACAAGCCGAGGTCTGCACCACCTGAGAAGAATCGCTACCCTGAGTCGCAGAGCTGCGAGTGAAGCCAACAAAGACGCCAACGTCCACCCTGCCACGAACGAAGCATCGCTCCTCGTCAGAGTGACGACCAGCGAACAACCCGCAGGAAAGGCGGAGATCGCTGAACGAGCGACAACGAGCGACACCTTGCGCCACCGAGCGACACCGAGCGACACGAGCGACCGAGCATCTTCAAGGACAGCATCGTGCCAACTCGTCATCTAGCAGTAGAAAGAGAGAGCGCACGAGCAGCACCAAGCCCCGGAACCATCAAGCGCCAAGCAAGCAAGTTTCTTCAAGGAACATCGTGCCAACGCCGCTCAATCCAGCAGTGGAGAGAGAGAGAGAGAGCAAAAGCCGAGCGACACGCCGAGCGAGGGAGCAGCAGGAGCTGTTCGTATCCTCCCACACCACACAAGCTAACGACACAATTAATATTACGAGGGGACAACGCACACACAGCACGCACACGAATAAGACTTTAAAAGAAAAACTGTCTTTTCGTTTCAAAAAGGGTTGCCATTTCGAGGTGGTGCGTTCAATATCAACTGATCGTGCAAAGCAGTTGCTGCCGTCGAGTTACATAAATGCATAAGAGTTTTCGTTATTCATATTGCATAATTGCATAATGTCACAACTGCATAAGTTTTTGTCGTTCATATTAGTTAATTGCATAATCTTGCCCATGAATTATTGACGCATGTTTGACCTGCATGATAGAATGTCACGTGCTTGTTAGAATAAAATTGTAATCCAGAAGCATATCGAGTGTTCCTTCCAAGTCCATGCAAAACTGTCTTATTCTTGACAACTGTATCCTGTGATGAGATATGAAAATGGAGACCTAAAATATTATAACACACACTAGGATAATCGGTAAATGAATCTATGATAATCGTGTTATCCTGATTGATAACTCTGGATAAACGAAACTAAGCAAATTATCATAACTGCACACATTAACATAATCGCAAGCCTCCGCATAAATCACTACGATTATCTCCGTGATTATCATAATTTATGCATATAATTACACGCATTATCATAATTTATGCGTATTAATACACACACTATCATAATTAATGCGATTTGCGCATTTTTCGGAAAATTATTAATTTTTATTATTTTCATCAAAATTTCATAATCACAACACATACAACATAATGGGTGGCGTCGTCCGGGATCTCTCGCAGACAGTGTTTTGCATGGATGATGGAATGAATCACTTCGTGTTAACCAGAATATCAGGATCGAACATTGCATGGTAATTGTGAACGGGCGGAAAACTAAAAAACGCCCTCTAAGGTTAAAACCCAGAATAGCAGGTTAAAACAGAGACAGTGGAATTAAGATAATATCGTATCAAACCAATTGCATCCTCTGATAAATGGTGTTAGAGGTACGCACTTTGAATCGGGAAAAAACAATAGCTCGAGTCGAACTGACTACACTCTGTGAGATAATTGTTTTATATGCACTCTGAAAAGAAATGTCAAAGTAACTTCCGCCATACCTAAGATGCTAGGATTAAGAATAATTTTTGAATGGGTTACGGGATACGGGGAGCTCGTATTTAAACGTACCGACCAATCTGTTACAAAGCAGTACAGTCAGAGAGACATATGGGAAGGGAGCTATATCGATAACACGAACACACCTCGGGGGAAACTAATTGACTGGATAAAATGTAACGAAGGCGAACACGATGCAAAAACTGCAGAGAAGGCAGGACAGGACTCATACCTTCTCACACAGGCATACAGACAGGGATTGTGGAATGAGGAAAAATTCGGAAAGGAAACAGGAGAGAAATCGTCTTTAATAAACGAGGAAAAATGTCCTCACACCATCGTAAGGAAGGAGAAATCTGGGCTCGCGACACCAGCGAAACTCACAGATGTTGATCCACAGAATAAATATGGAAG